GATAAACTACATCTAGCAGCAAGGCCTCTGATAGGGAGACTGGAGGTTTTGAGGAACGTGGAACCACCACTTCATTGCTGTTGTTCCCAAGTCCACACTGAACTGGGGTGGTAGCACTTGTTAGGGTCCCAGCTATGGGCAAATAGTAAACCCCAAACAAGACATTAAGAAAGCATAAAAATACATTTTTATAGTAAAAATACCAGTTATATATTATTATCTAAAAAATTACCAACATTAGCTATTTATAGTAAAATTACTAACCATACCTATGGGCATGTGGCCAAGTGGTTAGAATGTTTGCCTTCTGACCATGAGACCCAGGTTCAAATCTTACCATGGTCAATTTGTTAGGAGAATTCCTGATGTTATCGGTCTGGAGGGAGTGATCCCAGTGTGTGGCACCTTTGGAAAGTGCCTGAAAATCATACCACGGGTTGACCCAAGCCTTGTGAGTGAAATAGGTTGTTGTCGATAGCTGTGCTAGCACAAAGTCATAAGTCATTGTGACCAAGGGTTTCAGCACACTGGCCTTGATCAGATTATTGATCACGCTAGATAACACGCTCTCTCCCAAAAACTGTAACTAAGGTCTGCTCAGCATAGTTGCAGTATAAACCACAGTTGGGCTTGGTGGGTGTTGAACAAACACAATTGTGCCTAAGCAAGCATCTGCAATAGGGATTGGCTAGCCACCCCAGAAGATGGGTATCCTCGAAATAAGAGCAGCCAGCTATAATATCCTACTAACAATACTTATTTATAATAAAATTACGAATGATACATTTTATTTGTAGTTGAAGGCATGCAATTGCATTCAAAATATAATTAATTGAAACCATAAAATCGTGTTCAAAATATTCAGATTTCGACATTAAATAACCCAGAGGTGTTGATATGCCACTAAACATGATCAACCAAATTGTTTGTGAAATCGCTTCAGTCTTTTCATGTGTCACCATTACATGTACACAGTTTTCTGAAAATTTTAACACTAAAATTTTTCCTTCTCAAAATTTGTAGTTGCCAACCTCAAATAAATCAAAATTAAAATGAAGAGAAAAAAAAAAATTTCTTACCGGAAGTTCTTAACGGTGAGTATTTCATTGGCAATAAGCTCAAGTTTTTGTATGACTTCAAAAACATTCTCCATTGTGGCTAACTTTTTCATCATGTTTACCTACAAAGATAAGTTTAAAGAGCTGACATGATACAGTCATATGTTTGTAGGTGCAGGAATCAGTTGATAACAGGGTGTTTTAGATATGTCACCAATCCAGAAATTGTACGTCCGGGTATGACAATAAACTACATCCATGTCCTGGGTATGGCGATAAACTACATCCGCGTCCTGGGTATGATGTTAAACTACCCCCGCGTCCTGGGTATGACGATAAACTACATCTGCATCCTGGGTATGATGATAAACTACGTCCAACAGCAAGGAAGGCCTCAGATGGTGTTTTCAGAAAAATAATGTTGCCAGCTGTACGTTTTTGAAACAATAATGTTGCCAGCTATACGTTTTTTTTGGAAACAATGATGTTGCCAGCTATGCGTTTTTTTTGGAAAAAATAATGTTGCCAGCTATACGTTTTTTTGGAAAAAATAATGTTGCCAGCTATACCTTTTTGAAACAATAATGTTGCCAGCTATACCTTTTTTGGAAAAAATAATGTTGCCAGCTATACGTTTTTGAAACAATAATGTCGCCAGCTATATGTTTTTGAAACAAATAATGTCGCCAGCTATACGTTTTTGGGAAGCAATAATGTTGCCAGCTATGCGTTTTTTTGGAAACAATGTTGCCGGCTGTGCGTTTTTTTTTGTTTTTTTGGGGGGAAAAAATAATGTTCCCAGCTATACATTTAATTGTACTGTATATTTAATATTTTATATATATATATATATATATATATATATATAACTTAATTTGGCATTAAATGACCTACAGTGGTTGATATGCCATAAAACCCAACCAACCAGAAATTGTTGCAGACTGGTTCATGGAACACAGCAATGAGTTTTCTGTGTTAAAGTATCTGCCACAGTTACTGGATCTCAATCCTTTGGGAGTGTAGTGAAAAAAATGGAGATTTTAACCTTAGATGTGCAGCCAACCAATCTAGAATAATGCCATAACAACTAGCAGGGAAATTAATTTCAAAAGAGGCGCTTCCAGAACATTGTTGAATACATATACTGTGTAACAACAAGGGATAATTGTCTATCCCACAAAATGTTTAATATCTACAAAACCACTGTTTATTTTTTAAACAGTATTTTTATATCATCTACTGGCCTGAAGATTCAAGAAATCTTATTAAAGAAAAATATGCCCTCCAGCAGGATTTGAACAAGGGTTCCCCTGTAAAGAGGGTTACAGGAGAAATCGTCATTAGATCTGATGTGCTTTAACCTACTCGGTCACGAAGAGTGTTGTGATCACATGAGATATAGCACATAGAAGAATCTTACACATTTTTTAGCTTCTTTTAAATGTAATGAAACACTAAAAGCACATTTATACGTCCAGCAACTGCAATGTGTCCTCAAATATTTGGCTGAAAATCACCCTATGCTTGTCAATAAGAAAAATGCTGATCTCCATGACACTGCAAGATTGCATGCAGCAAAAGGAAAACAGTTTTGGGTCGACCTTACCTAAACCTGCAAAATTTTACTCGAATTGTATCAAAGAGCTGCCTGTTCATTGCCAACAATTGTAAAAAATGGTGAATATAGAATTAAAAATCAAATTCTACTTTAATTTATGGAAAATGAAGTTGATAAACAAAAATTTAAATTATTTGTGACTCAATCTTATATTTAATTTAATTATTATAATTTAATTTAATTATTATAATTTAATCTTTAATTTAAATTTATCAGAAATATTATACAAACCTGTGTGACCCCAGAAAACATCTCATTCCATTTAGCTAGTGGGGTCAGAGTTGAGGCAGAGTGAGTCATAGCATAACGGTGCCCATTTCCAGCCAGACTGGCAGCCAAATCAGATGCAGTCATTCGGATCAATGTGGTCAGTCGGTTGTGGTCAGAGAAATTTGGCCTATTCAGAGAGAGAGAAAAATTGATTGATTTGTTTTTTTTTATGGCTTGGTAACCTTTTGCAGATTATTTAAAGCCAGAAAATAATTTTTACATTGTAATAATTTGGGGAGGGGAAGAAAAAACGGTTCACTGATACAACTCCAACTAATTAATCCATACATGGGGAGAAGAGATGAATTCATGCAAGAGTATTTTGCATGTAAGTGAATATAACAAGTTCAACTGGAATTGGAACTCAGCTCTCAGATTTCCAATTCCAAGATATTATACACCTGCAAATCCAAGCTTAAAGCACCTGCTATTGTCAAGCATTTATCCATCTAGCTACTGACCAGATTCAAATTGCTTAACTTCAGTGATCATAAAAGAACTGGTGTTTCAATGTGATATAGGTGTAAGCTGAAGAGAGAAAACAAATGCTTATTAACATGGAAGAGAATTGACTATTTGAAAATGGTTGATATAACCAGGTAGTAATCCTGGTTCACAGTTTTACTGCAGATTTGGTTTGGTTTACAGCATATCAACCTCAATGGGTTATTTAATGCTGACAAAAATTTTTGTTACTTACACTATTTACATTGTTCAGACTGTTGTACTCATTTCTGTTGCCATATTCATATTGAGTAATATGGAAAAAAAAAACAAAAAAAAACAAAACAAACTACTCTCTTTATTTACATTATTTATAGTTAGAATAATATTTTTAATCATTTCACCTCAAACAAGGCCACCATCCTGGGTGTGATGATAAACTACATCCGCGTCCTGGGTAAGACGATAAACTACGTCCAACAGCAAGGCCTCTGATCAGGAGGTTTTGAGGAGCGTGGAACCACCTCTTAATTGCTGATGTTCCCAGTTCCACCCTGACCCGGGTGGTAGCACCTGTTAGGGTCCCAGCTATGGGCAAATAGTTAACACCCAAACTTGTGTAAAAATAAGTTTTAATACTAGAAATACTTTGTAATAAAAAAAAAAAATGTCACCAGCAATAATTTTTGAAGGAAAAATTATCGGCAATACTTAAAAAAAAAAAAAAAAAAAAAAAAGCAATACAAACAGCTATACATTCTTTGAAAAAAATATTACCAGCTATAGATTACTTCAAGGAAAAATATTCCCAGAAATAGATTTTTGAAGAAAAACATACCAACAATAAAAGTTATGTCGGCATTAAATAACCCATTGAGGTTGATATGCTGTAAACCAAAACTACTAAGACACACGTGGTAAGTGAGTGTGAAAGAATTTGAAAAAAAGAAAAACAATATTAAGGTTTAGTTTGTTTTACGGCATATCAACCTCAATGGGTTATTTAATACCAACAAAATTTTTTATTGCTGGTAATATTTTGTTTTGTCAAAAATCTATTTCTGCAAAAAAGATATAACAGGGTGGTAACTTTGGCTCAATGTTTTTACTGCACTAGAATGCCTAATGACAATTTGAACCAGGAGTTAAGATTAAACTGTAAGAAAACTCAGATAACCTAATGAGATGCTGAGGAGAAAAAGGAAAGAAAGCACAAATTAAAAATAATAATTAAAGGCCATAAAATGAGTTTGAAGAAGGCTCTGGAAGGATTTTAATCAGAGATAAACCAATTTGATTTCATAAAGATTTAATAAGATTAGATCTTCGCCAAGACACTCAAATGTCTCCAAAGGTGATTATGGTTTTCTGAAATTTCCCAAATTCCATAGTAGAATTCTGTGTTTATTTAAAATACTACCAAATACATTATATTTTACCAAGTCTGAGGTAGGGGTTTTTGGAATGAAGCATTTTCAGAATTATTTGTTAAAGATATGATCACCTTACATTTAAAATTGTCCTGGTCACAGGTTGACTGGTCTAATGAGAAAGCAGAGGTTTGACTATCCTTTATGGTCATTATTGATTATACCATTCGGACGTCCTAGCTTACAACACCTGGTATTCCAAAGCAGTCGCCCATCTAGGTACTGACCAGGTTTGATGTTGCTTAACTTCAGTGATCATACAGGAACCAGTGTTTCACCGTGATAAGGCTGCAAGCTCCCCAACAGAGCCATTACTTTTGAAGACGTAGAAACATGTTAGGGTAAATATTCTTCATATTTTTTCCTCTTTCCATATTCAAATAAATTTTGGTTATCATCTTGTATCGCATGAGAACTTTCGTTCCATCCATTCTAAAAAAGAAAATGTTTAACTTACCTAGATATTATTTCTGTCCACAGTTCCAGCATTTTGTCCATATTCTTGTTCAAACAGTGAGAACCTAATATGAGAGCCTGAAAAGAGAGAGAGATCTATTGTCTAGAGTTTACGAATGAGATCAATATTTTTTTTTTTTTAAATCATTTCCCCCCAGGCAAAGCGGGAGTGCCACAAGCATGCAGGGAGTTTTCAAAGAGTGAACGTGAGAGAAAGGATCGAGTACAGCAGGGACTGAGGAAAGGATAAAAGCTGAATAGGGTTCAAGTCAACAGAAGATAGCAGTAGACATTGCATTTAAATTTCTGAAGATTGTAGTTATCAAGGAAGTAAGTAAGTGGAAGGGAGTTCCACTGTCAGGAAGTGCAAGAAAAGAAACTGTTGGAGTAGAAGTGGCAGTTACATTATTTTTCAATAGTAAAAGAGTGGGACCTAGAAACTAATATAGTAGCACGCTTAAATTCAGGGCACCAGGAAAAAAGCCTGTCAGAGAAGTCACCATGAAAATATTTGTAGAAAAGACAGAGGGAAGCCACATAACATCTCTGAGTGACTAAAAACAAGATGACAAGTCAGGATCAATTTTATTGCAGGTCCTTATTTTGATGGTGTCAAGAACTTCAAGATGAACATCCTCATCTTTGTTAGGATCACCACAAAATGTTGACTGGTCAGTGCTCTGGTGATTATCGATTGAAAAAAAAAAAAAAAAAAAAAAAAGAACAAAAAAAAACAAAACAAAAGAACAAAAAAAAAACAAAAAAAAAAAAAAAAAACAAAACAAAGAACAAAAAAAAACAAAAAACAAAAAAAAACAAAACAAAACAAAAACAAAACAAAACAAAAACAAAACAAAACAAAAACAAAACAAAACAAAAACAAAACAAAACAAAACAAAAAAAAAATGGTCAATAATCATAAACAATTATTTTAACCATCACCAACAAAGCTTCTTTTGTGGAGTCAGTCTGCCCAGATTTGAGTTGGAAAAATAAAATCTGAGTGTCATGTCCACAAATACAACACAATTATAAACAACACAAAGAAATGATCTTTGCAGAAAAAGAAGATGTCCAAGCCAAATATAACAATAACATTTATACTGGCAGGTACATATATTTACATGTTAAAAATCAATGTTCTTTGTTGTAACCATGAAGAGACCAGTAGTTCAATTGTTCAAAATGGTTTGTCACAACTAAGTCTGAAAAGTTCAAAGAGATTTTGTTACAAGAAAACAAGTGATATTGTACACCAATATACGTGTGTGTATGTATATAGCAAATGCAAATGAAAAATGTGTGTGACTACTGACTGATTGCATGTGAAAGCAGTAATTTTAAACACGGTGAAACAAAGAGAGAAGAGACAGGATTTACTTTCGTTGCAGCTTTGTATATTTTTCAGTGTAGAAAAATCATCACTTACTGACACATTGTCAGGGTAACATGTTCCGATGCTGATGATCTGACTGTTCATTTATCTGTACTGGGCAAGCCATTTTTATCATTATTGGCTAGATGGCGCTTGGCTCTGAATCCTGTCTGAGTTTTGTATGGGAATGTACTCAGTAACCCGAATCCTATCGGAGTTTTGCATGGGAATGTACTCAGTAACCCGAATCCTATCTGAGTCTTGCATGGGAATGAACTCAGTAACCCAAGCCATGGCATTTTTCCAGGTCATTTGGAGTTCAACCGTATGGAAATTAGAGAAAGCACATCACATGACTTGTCCTATCCAATCAAGGTCCAGAAAACACTTATTTAATTTGGAGCTCTGTAAGCACAAATCTTTTGCTATAACTACAAATCCCTCGAAAGCAAGCAGACATTTGTTGTTTTTGAGCTTACTGGATGATTTTCAGCACTATTATAGAGATGTATTAATGTTTTGTTTTCATTATCAACGACATTGACAGAAACCGAGGACAAACAAGCCTCTTCCTATTTAGAGGCATGGTAGAAGAATGCATTGCAGCTCAGATTGAGGAACTGGAGAGCAGAGTTCAAATTCCAGTTGAGTTCATTACATTAACTTACATGCTAATACCCTTGGGAAAGGTATGAACCCAATTCTTCTCTCTTCAGCTATGGGTAAATAGTAGGACAGACAAGGTTCTACAGCCTTGTCTGGCAACTGGCCTAGGAAAAGGAAAATTCTGAATTCAAAACTATATGTAAGCATGACAAAGCATACTCTATGCAGCTAAGGAAAGGATCGTTCACATTGACTCAATGTTCCCAACTATGATCAACACCTTTTATTAATGTCATTTGCATTTAAGAGGAAGATTAAAAACTAAAATCAGAATTGTGTAATTTTTGTGGGTTAGAAAACCAGATCTGCTGAGAAGAGCCAAAATTCCTGAAAAGAGCTTAAATTTTGCATTTAACCCATCTAGACATCTTTGGTGGGGTTCAGTACCAAAGGAAAGTTATGATTAAAACTGATGTTTGGAGTGTTGAATAATGGTGCCAAAAGCATTTAACATATGAAAAGAATACAGTATATTTTATATAATAATCAGGAACAATTTTCTTACAATTTGCAGATTTAAAGTGTCTTAATAATTGGGAACGTACACTTAAAAAGATAAAAAATTATAGCAATGTCTACTTGATCGCCAACTGCATTTTTTTTACCTGTTCATAGCTTTGGGTGCTTGAATAATGGTTACTCATGTGTACAGAACAACCAAGTCCTCCTGTGTAGAGATCTGTAAGTTGAGAAAGTTCTTTGTAGTCCCAACTGCCAGCACCCATTCTGGAAGGAAGACAAAAAAAACCCCCAAAAATGTAATGGCTGATATGAATGGTATTTTATTAAAAATGACAGAAAATTTAAAATTTAATAGGCAATGTCCAAAGAATTTTGAGACAATAAGAAAATTGTAATGCATTTTTGATTTTAAAAACATGTTTGATACTACATCTCTCCCATAATAGTCCGTACATTTAAAATATGAAATGCATGTACAAATATAACAATTATTACAGGTAAATCCTTCTTGTTCCACTGTCCATAAAAAAAAATCTACCTGCATAGATTAAATAAAGGGTTCAATTTGAAATTGTCCAGATCAACAGAGCCCTGATGAAGGCTAGAAGACACAATGGCTGAAACATTGTGATGATAACAGAGATGAAAGAATTATTCTAAATGTAAATAATAACTTCTCATCCCAAAAAATTAACACAGAATTTTTTTTTCTTGTACATGTTTGCAGGTTTTAACTCCAGGAAGGAAAATTACACCTCCACTTAGCTCAATGTTTTCTGTCAAATTCAAAAATTTAAATCGTTATCATCTGTCTTCTTAATTCTTGTTCATTTATTGGTTCCTCTCCTTAATATTGATGTTTTTATATTTCTCATATTCTCACACACCCCCTCACTCGGGCTATTTTGTTCTCACACCCCCCCTCACTCGGGCTATTTTGTTCTCACACACCCCCTCACTCGGGCTATTTTGTTCTCACATTCTCACCCCCCCCTCACTCGGGCTATTTTTTTCTCACACTCTCCCTCACTCGGGCTATTTTTTTCTCACATTCTCACACTCTCCCTTACTCGGGCTATTTTTTTCTCACATTCTCACACTCTCCCTTACTCGGGCTATTTTTTCTCACATTTTTACACACTCCCTTACTCGGGCTATTTTTACTCATATTCTCACACACTCCCTATGAGGTAAGAAACAAAAAAGTATCAACAAATTGATAAATGTGTAGATACATATTATATGAAAGTTTTGTTTTTTAATGCAAGTAAATTTGAACAAATCTTCTTACTTGGTAAGTACATCCGTGAAAAGAGGCAGGTACGGTTTTAATTCAGCAGGTAGATGAGATGTATTAGCCAAAAATCTTATGTAGGTCACTTCATTTGTGGGCTGAGGAGAACAGTAAATGGGTACCCCAGAGGCTGAAAAAAAAGAGGGAAAGGAAAAAATAAATACATCTTAAAGAAGTCCATCTTTCAAGATAAAGCACTGGAATTGTCTTTAATTTTATAGTTGTCTATTAATCCCTTTTTGTTTTTGGTAGCGACAAGACATTCTCTTCCACTCTGTTAACATGGAAGTACCTCAGAGAGACTTACTGAAGGTTACTTTGAACTCTTCACAACTTTAACTTCATTTCTTATTTTCCTTTTGGTAACATGACTGTCTAATATATATATATTAATACTTGTTTGTTTAAATTCCAGGTTTTGTGTTTCTTAATTGTATTCTGCCTCAAGAGTCTTCCAAATATTGTTTGCAGGACAAATGTTCTAGGAGCTGTAAATATTTACTGAAAAATGTTCAGACCTTGTGAAAAAAGAGGCGATTCCCACAACAATAACAACAACCCAATGAGGAAGGAGGGCATGGAAAACCTAACATTATTAAGGGCAAAAGAGTTAGGGGAAGGCAGCAAGCCACTTACCTGAAGAGCTTGTGTAATTGGATGGCAGAATGGGTGAGGGTTTTTAACACAAGAATAAGACTGCTAAGGTCCATAAAAGATAGGAAGTCGTGGAGAGCTGTCAGATGTCCAGAAATTGATGTCGCTTTTTTTCAGCAATACGTCTAGTCTCACCGAAGCCTAGAAGAGCAGTGCCCGCCACGTCCACTTGCCTGGTTTTTAATAGGTAGCATTGTTCTCTTATGCAAATAAGTCTGCTGCATAAAAATGGCAGTAGGCATACACACGCACGACCGACTCTCGGAGAATGGTTCGACACGCGAGACAGCGAATTCATTTTGCTCCTGGTAAGTCACTGTCACATTTATTACAAGAGCTATGATCGCCTATGTCCTGAAGGATCTCAGTACACACAGAAGAGTATAG